ATTTAAAAAAATGTTATTTGTTTCTCATGTTCAAGTCCTGAAGAATGAACGATGACCCCCAATTCATTTTTGTGGTTCCGGGGGTTGTTGCAATGTAGGGTACCAAATTAAACCTACAATCTACAAAGAGTGCGAAATCGGCCCCATGATTTTTGATGGCACGGACCTGGCATGATGCACAACTGCGATTTGCGCAGTGGCAGTCCGGAACACCACATGTTGCACCTGGGGCGAAGATGTCTGGGATGTCATGGGCAATGGATGATTTGTGGCGCAAAGAATGTACGATGACCATGGATAATCGAACATTGTAGTGGAAAGTCTATAGATGATTTTCCCACATGGTCACATTTCGTAGCCATTTTTTAGGGAATTTCCCATGGCCATGTTTGACTGCCAGAGGGTAGCTGTTCTATTTGGGATGGTGTACGGTCTGGCCGCCATGGCCATGATCGTAATTCCATGTAGCCTGCGATAAACTCAGGCAGGTACAGAAAATCAGAAAACAACAGATTTGATCATGGTTGAGTGCCATAGATTTTTGAGCATTCATTTCATGTTTTTTGGGGGGGTGGGGGATTTGCTCGAGGAAACTAGGTGATCCTGATATTTCCTATATTCAATGGGAATTCCAGAATCCTAAAATGGAGGTACTGTACCATATCAGGCCATATTTTGTGGGGATATTCCCTGAAATGGCCATTGATATATCTTTTCCGTTACAGAAAAAAGTGGGTGCCACCACTCAGCTGTCCGACTTGTCGTCCCATCGCTTAGCTCGGCGCTGCAGTGGTGATTCAACTCGCTGCGGCAGTTGGTCGTTGTGGGAGCCCTGGCGGGATGGGCGCTCAGCGGGAAGATCTCAGTGATGATGTGGAGGTTTCGAGCCAGCATTGCTGGCAAACTTGATGCTGACCCATGGAAAAAAATGTTTTTTAATGAGAGTCATAAAGATTTAAACGATTTTAAAAGGATATATATGGTGTAATTTAAGATGTCCACTTTACAATTTACAATACTGGGCAGGCCGTTCAGTGGCTGCTCCCCTCATCCCTCAAACACCTCAAATCAACGGGGTTGGGACAGTGTATGTACGTAGGTAAATTGAAAGAAACTGCATGTAGTCAGGTGCCTTAAAATGATGCGAAAGGAGAAGTGTAAGTATATATTCTTCTACTTGGGTATGGATGGCCTCTCTTTGCGAGGCAAGAGCAATTCTCCTTCATTTCCAGTTGCTTGAATGGATCATATTGCCGCCATCGAGGAAAAATATACCTTAGACATCCCTAGACTTTCCGCTACCGCTTCCTTGAAGTGCCACCAAATCCCGTCGCAAATCTCTGGCACCGAATGGCAACAATAGTGGAAGATTTTTGAGTTCTTGGTGTGGATGGCTATGGAGATTTGCCACTGGCCTGTCAGACGGGAACACGAGAGTCCGTGGGACGGGCTGAGGGGATTTCGGTGCAAGCTAAATGGCACCTCCCTCTTACCACACTCACCGAGGCAGCTACCAGATCATGCAGCATAGTGCAAGTTGACAATGGAAACACCATGGACAAGCACGGTTCAAAGTTGTGACATCCACTTCAAGTTCGCTTTCCGCCATGAACATCACCCAAGTCATCCCGCAAGTTCCACCATCAAGACACATCAAAACCATTCAAAACCAACATCCGCCAACCAAGATGATTGGAGATCAAGCTGGGCAGACTACTGCAGACTACCCGGCTGCCCAGCTGTGACCGTGGTGAAAATTATGCCCCGCTGCGTCGTCACCTCCACGAGCGTACAGAGTTGGAGTGACTGCAGGGCTTGGAGGTGCTAATTCTGCCAGATTCTGCCGGCGTGGCGTCAATGGCAGAGGCTTGAGGATATGTTGAGGACATGTTGATGGAGTTTCTATGAGTTATTGACATTTGAATTGAATAGACATCATAAATCATCATCAATCATTAAGAATCATCAAGGTTAAGGCTTAAGGAATTCATGATTCGGAAGTTGTGTGACAAACGCATCTACATGAGATGACTATATATATATATATACACATACCATTATATACCCTATTGGATATAAGATGTCTCACTTTGACCCTAATTGTCCTCAAGCCAGTTGCTGTTCGCTGCGAGACTTCTGCTACGCACTCCTTGCATACAGAAGTTGCCAGTTCCAGCAGAGCTGCCACTCCACATGGTGCAGTCGTAGTCTTATTGGTAATTGAAGTTCCATAAATGAATCCCCCAACAACAAACCCCTAACTTTGCTATAGAATACATTGATATATATATATATATACATTGCACACTCTGAATACCCTGGGGGATATAAATCTTATGGGATTTAATAAGCCAACGATAATAGAATACCCCAAAAGAACAGCCTTGTTTGTTTTTTCCCCACTTGCCAGGCGAGGGTCTCTAGATTTTGACAAAGGTGCAATTCCTTCCTTCTTCTTCTCATTCACCTTCTCCTCCTCTGCCAGCTCCTGATGCAGTGGGTGACGCCTGGACCCGAACTCCATATCGCCAACTCCGGATGCTGCTGGAGGGCGCCTGGACCTGAACACCATATCGATAGAATGCCAAAAAGAAATTGCAGAAAGAATCTCAAAATAGATGCCAGATAGACTGCCAGAATAGATGCCAGATAGACTGTACAGAGTACATGTCAGAAAGAATGTCAGGTAGAATGTTGGAAATATATGTCAGGGCGGGGATCACTTGAAGTAAAGTAATTTTGGGTCTGCTCCTTTCCAGCCCAGCTCCCTTGATGCAACAGGTGCCTTACCTGCAAGCTTAAACGGCCCCCAACACCTCCACCGTCCATGGGCCCTTGGGACGGAGGAGAGCATTCCCATCCATGTCTGGTCACCATTTTGCAGCATCACGTCCACATCCCCACGAAGTGTGCACCATGCGGAGCCTTGTCCTTAGTTACTGGAAAGCCCAGCGTTCGATCGTGTTCGATGCCTGGGTTTGTAGATGTCAACCTTCTCCGTTGGGTCAGGTCAGTCCTCGGCTGGTTGGATTTTGTTACCCGAAGATGAAGCAACAACTGAAACTCAGGTGTGCATGTTTGTTGTGCAATCAGGTCTTCTGTACTCGTAGGACGATGTAGGACTTTAAGGTTAGGGTTTTGGATGGTTTCCATCTGATCCATTTAGCATTGCAATCATGAGTTTTGTGGAGAGAACCAGCCAAGGGCAGAAGGATCCGAGCAAGCTGCCTGAGAAACTGCTGGCGCTGCAGGTCTTTCCCAGACCAGGGCCATGTTTTAATGACAGACGATGTGGGTGGCTGATCCGTAGATATCTGGTCAATCTGGTCTTTCGGACTGACGTAGGGCATCTGGAAAAAACTGTTGCTTTTGTTCTGATCCTACCCACAGTGCCGTAGATAGCCACTTTCACGGCTATTGGGCTACAAATGTTGTGGCTGACCACAGAAGAGTGTGTAAATTATTGTGGTTTTTGCTTCTGTCATTGTTCGTGATGGTCCATTATAGTCATATTAGTCTTCATATACCGTTGATGTGAAAAGGTCATGGTATTCCCAGGGGCACTTCATTAAATAATATTATATAAATAAGGGCAAAAAGGCTTATGAATCGTATACGGATCCACCATGGCAACATTCCCAAAAACATTGAGGAGACAAACTGCTGAATGCTCAGAGCCCCAGCCGTGAACACCGGGGCAGCTAACTGCGGCTGTTGCGTTGGATTTGCTGCTCGTGGAGGCATAGGGTTGATTGCAGTCAACTGCGGAATCCGCGCTGGTTCATGTGGTTTTAGCCAAAATGAGGAGGCACTTCAAAGACATTGTATTTTTCAAAGGGGGCATTGGTGGCAAACCATGGCTTTCAGTAGCGTTTTCCGAAAACAGTGATACAGGATGGCGGTAATGTCCAAAGGCCGTGTCCGGCTTGTCTTCATCAGCAGTTTTTCCTTTAGGGAGCTTGAAGTATACGAAAAACATCAAACAATTGAATATAAGAGAGATTGCTGATAGTGCCTGGTGAATGCTTTGTTCCAAGCTCCGTCAAACGCCTTCATCAGCAAGCCAAACAATGAGTCATATAATGATATACGATCAACCCGACGCTGCGAGCGTGCATTGCGATAAACTCAAACCGAAAGACACAGGAGAAAAGGAACAGCGACCTATGCTGTGCCGATATCGGATGTGAACATGCTGTGCCCTGTGGCCCTCGACATGGAATTTGCAATGCTCCTATACAGCTCAATTTCTTGCTGAAAATTGCACGACACTGAATTTGGTCTTTGCAACATGTATGTTTATTTCATCTTATCTTCATTCATGGCTCTCTCCAATGCTGTGCATGATGGCGGTACCTTGTCCTCCATATTTAATAGTCCGTTTTTGGGTCGGGGTAGCTTTGGTTATTACAACCTGCCACTTTGCCGCTAGCCGCGCGAGTAATCGCAATTCCTAGTTCATTGATGCTCGTGCCCGCTCTTTTTGAAAGGCTCAGGGGTTCATTCACCCAGAGTCTTTAGGAGCAACTTCGATAGATCATGGTCGTCGCAATCCATCAAATCAATTCAAATCATCTTGGCTCGGAATTCGTACATTGGAATGTGTGGGTTTTTTCCACTGCCATGGACAAAAACCGCTGAAACACATGGAACTACTGGACATATCTGGACATTAAAGGGGCTACAGCAGCAGCACACCAACAGCAGCACAGAAAACCGGCCGCCGAACTCCTAGAGTCCGCGGGCTACAGGTCTGGGAGCGGGTTGCATCGAGAAAGGGTCATCAATGGCAATGGCAAGCTATGGAGGTTTCCTAAAATGGCGGTACCCCCAAATCATCCCAAATCATCCCAAATCATCCATTTACAGATAGATTTTAACCATAATAAACATGAATAAACCAAGAAAAAGGCATCCATTTTGGATATTTCTTTTGGTTCCCCCATTTATTTATGGGAACCCCCCCAAGAGAGATCATCGACTCATCGACAGCTGAGGTGATGGACCTGCAACCGAGAGATGGTGCGCAGCGGTAGACATGGCGGAAGTGGATGGACATGGCTCATCTATACTTAATTTACCATATATAGTAAATGGACGTAAATGGATGTAAATGGATGTAAATGGATGTAAATGGATGTAAATGGATGTAAATGGATGCAAATGGATGTAAATGGATGTAAATGGATGTAAATGGATGTAAATGGATGTACATGGATGTACATGGATGCAATTGGATGTAAATGGATGTAAATGGATGTAAATGGATGTAAATGGGCCTTATTAATATATAGTATATATAGTAGAGAAATAGTAAATGGATATGGCCCAATATAGTAACAAATTAGTAAATGGATATGGCCCAATATATCACTTATATATACTTATATTGTAAAGAATGATGTTCCATAGAGGTTATGATCACCATTATATACCGTTGTTTTTCGAGCCCCGCGAGCGTCGCTCACTGGCAGGCTCTGAGCACAGAGTTTTTGTCCGGAACACATTCCTGGAAGTGCAGGACCCTCTGCCGTGTTTCTTTCATCTTTCATTCCCTTGCATGACTCACAGAACGTATCATATATAATATATACAACGAATATAATCGTTAATCGTTTATGCACACTTTACATGCACATATATTCCATATAGATCTATACAATCACACGTGCTTAACATACTTATACATATAGTATGTTTGCGTGTTAGGGACACGTCACCAACATGACAGCATTTCCATGTGTTTTTTGTTTAATCGTTACTCACAGGACGAGGACGAAGTCAATGAAAAGAATGCCTTGAAAAGATCGAACAGCAGCCTCTCTTGAATGGATTGGATGGTTTTTGACTAACAGGTACAACCAACTACATTTAACGGGGTTTTCCAGCCAAACAACTGGTGTTGTTCGTGTGTCCTTTCCAACACTGTTTTCGTTGTTTCAAGGATGATGATCCCAATGGGTTGAACGCATCCTTCAGATTTGAGAGATATTGGGTATTAATCTTTTATAATCCTTTATAGGCTTTCTACTAATACATAGTCACATATTGGACCCGGCCATATACAGATAGTGCACGAAATTCGTGGACCTGAATCATGGTATCCCCAAAAAATATTGAAGGGGTATTGGAATTGTATCTGCCCTTTCGTAATTTAACATGGCAACGGACACATGAACACTTTGAATAGGAAAATCATCGCTCCACGGGTTTATCTTTTTTTCTTGGCCATGTCTTGCGAGTTGAATCCAGCATTTTCACCAAATATAATGGCTGGTTTACATCATAATTATCGCCATTATCACCCCATGAATGGTTACATAGTTTAGTCCCATTAACTGGCTGATTTATCCTATTTTACCAGTTACGATTGGTGATATGAATCTCCCCAGATTTCCATGAAAACCCCCATCAAGCCGCCAAAACACTAGGGCCAACCCCATGTTATTCCCATGATCCCTACGATATGTTTCTTTGAATTCCTCTTACCATCTGGTAATGTGACATGGCAATGGAAAATGGGCCATGGCTTCCACAACTATGACTTCACCAGGTAATTTTTTTTCAGAAACATTATTTTTCTCACCATCAATAATCATGAATTCCCATGAATCCACCGATAATCCACCATTGATAACCATTCCCATAGGATCCATGTATGCTATATATGGTAACATTTACCATCAATATACCCCCAATGTTAGCATATATACCAGCACCATGGATCCTATGGGATTGATAATCCATTGGTTCCCATGACGAGGGAAAATTCCCGAGGCTGGAGCGCATCCTCCAGCAGTTCGATGAGCTCGGCTGAAGATTTTGTGCACACCCTGCAGCAACAAGCGCGACTTGGCGGCCGAAAATGGCCCATAGCCATGGGAAAAGGCCATTACCGCTATTTTTGGATAGCAAAGCCCTTAAAAAAGATAGAAGAGGTGAACTTGACCAGATATGTTCAGTGATTTTTGCGGTTTTATCGTTTTTGCAGTTTTGATTCTGGTGATTTTTTGGTTCCAGGCACCGAGAATTTCTTACCATATTTGGGTATGAACATGCATGGTGAGCTACATATGGATATCCTTCCAAGAGAGAATCATGGAGCCTCCGAAGAATTGGATACATTTCACAGCACTCTTTAGCTCAATTTATATAAGGATCCAGACAACGTGGTTCCAGTGGTTCCATATGTGAGAAGGTCCTGAAATAAGGATTGATCACGGATTAATCCAGTCATGATCAGCAATGATTTGTCACGATAATGATCATCCCTCAGGTGTTCTCTCCGATCAAGATCAGCCAGTGCTTCCAGGTCACATGATCCATGGTGATCTCCAATTTCTCAGCTGGAAGATTGGCAGACATATGAGGGTTTCCACAACCGGGGGGGGGCAAATCATCCGTTGATTTTTTTCCATCATAAACCATCCATTTTGGAGTACTTGTACCACCATTTACACCCATTAATGGAAACCCCCATATCTAGGAGATGTTTGACGACTGTTTTGGCGCTGAGGGGACCCGGACACATGACCAACCATTTCGCAGCTGGGCTTGGGGGTGGAGTTCTTTTACAACGACCTTGCCATTTTGGGTGGTGAATCAACAAATCTTCCCAAGGGGTTTGTTATGATGATTTTATGAAGTATTTGTATGGCTTACCAGATTGCTATTCGATGCTATTTCTATCATGGCCGGTCTGAGTCATCAATACATGGGTGAATCAGTACTCAGTAATCATGAGCGATTATAGTTGTTAACCTGGAGTTTAATAGTTGTTGTCAATTTTGGTCCTATGATGTCCTATGGCTCTGTTGCAAAATTCAAAATTACACGGTCTTCCTGAAATTCGATGGTGGTCAGCGCCAGGAAGAAGCAGGGTTTCATATGGGCCGCATTTTCAAGCCCAACAAATGGTTTTGTGGCAGTAAGCCGCCAGATAAGGGATTGGGTACTTATCTGAACCATCAAGAATGGGGATTGATGGCATTGAACCGTGCGTGGCATTGTCGAATTGCTCTGCTTCGAACAGGGTTTTCTCGAAATATTGACCTGCTAATTTAATCTAATTGATCACAAATTTCCCATAATTTCCCCATGAAAGAACTGCTAATTCGGGGTCTAGGCACGCCCAACCTAACTGAGGTTTGGAACAATGACTCTGAGGTCTCGTCTGAATCGGCAATTTCAGGCACGCCACACACCTGTGCACTGCGCCTTCCTATGCCGGGAATCTTCAGATAGTTATTCTAGCGCCAAACCAGGCAGTTTACTGACACTGTCAGATTGCCAGAAAATCCAAGGGGTATCAAGGGGTTATGACTCTGGCCTTTCAGATCCTGGGGCCAAAACGTGAAAACATGGCAACGCCATTTTCCTTTTTTAACAGATGTGGTCAGCCCAACGCCATAACCCTCTGATTTTGGATGGTTTGCATTTATACCAACACTTCTGGCAGGTCATTTGTGGTTTTTGGTTTTGGGTACTATCGGTAAATCGTCGTGTGGACTTATTGGTGTTAAATTTACAGTTATTGTTGGCAAGTCCTTTTTATTTCTTGTTAGGTCCATTCATTGCATTTCATTGTAAAGTATGTGAAAGTTAATCCCCCTGTTGGTTGCACCCAATTACATCACCATACATCGAATTGGTGTTGATATCCTAGTTGTATCCATTTAGAGTTGGTTTGTTCATGATAATTCCCAAATTATTGTTGATATCCCATTGGTTCATTTAGTTTTGGTTGATGATTTAAGTTGGGCTTGGCTGGGAAGCATTCGCCAGGCTCGACAGTGCCGCGCAGCAGTTTGGAGGATCAACTTCGACAGGAACGGATGGCACAAGTGCAGGCGAAGATCAGAGATGCCTGGCACGTCTCGAGTCGTCTCTGCTATACCCTCTGGTAATTTAACATAGCTATTGAAAATGGTGATTTATAGTGGATTTACCCATTGAACATGGTGATTTTCCATAGTTATGTTAGTTTACCAGAGGGTAGATGATAAGGGGATATCCATGGTGAATCACCTGGTGATATAATGGGAGACACCAAATTAACATAGACCAAATAGACCAAGCCAAATGATGAAATGAGGGATTGGAAGATTATTTTCCAGCAAAACTTGTTTTTTTTTTTTTTCGGGGTCGATGTTGGTTTATGTTGGTGTGATGGAGGGTATAATCATAAGATGTCTCTGCTTGGATGTGCATTCCAGGATGTGTATTTGATTTATAGACCATATATGGGATATTCAATTGTTCTAGCTAGGGGATTCTTATCAATATATTATTATATATTCAAAATTCGGAAATTGTTCAAAAACTTAGACGTGGAGGTCTTAATTATTGCCATAACTTTCTACTTTTGATATCCGTTGATTCAAGAATCTTGTGAGCTGATGGGAGCGTTGCCAAGCCCTGAGGGGGTCATCCATCTTACCCAAATGTCACTGCTTGGTGCTTCAGCGGGCCATCTGTGGGGCTCAGGAATTGACGCAGAACGATCCCTTGCTTTCGGGAGAGGGTGATGACATGCCACCTGCAGATATTGTGCAACTTGTTCTCCGTGGGGTAAAAATCAGCTGCTGTGCCGCTGTGCCATGCTGCACGGCAGCTGACTGAGATCATCTATGGCATATTGACTCGCATACGTGCTCAAAAAAATGGCCTTGGATCCTGGATATATAGATTTGGAATGATCGCATTGGTCGATGATTTCACCACTGGGATTTTGTGTCCCACCTGTTTTGGACCGAGGTATTCATGGTCGGCTGGTAGCGCAAACCATGCAACCCGGCGGACGGATAAAGGAAAATAAATTTGGAACTTTATCGCATCAAAAAGATAATTTCCAGGAATCCAATCAGTTTTCACAAAACTGAATTGGGAGCCTTGCGAGGGTGATTGACAGTTGTTTCTCCGCCTCAACAGCCAAGACTGTCCCAACTGCCCCTGGTTCCAGTTCAGCAAACATTTGGACCGAAAGTTTGTAGCTTTGAGATGGTTTCCACAGTCGAGATGTGTTTCTTTCATCATTTTGATTGATTTGGTATGCTGGGCTAACTGTCTCTATTGGTTGGTTCAGCACTTCTTCACATTGCGATACGTTTGGCCAACTGGAGAGACAGAAAATATGCACCAGCCACCTCCTTGAATTCCATCTTCTACACCAAGACATGAATGCGACATGAGTCAACATCTTGGATGGAAAACGGAGCCGTGCGGGGCCGCTCAGCTTCCCATGGCCTTAAACTAAGGCAGCCAAGAAGTGCACGCCTTGCATACACTTCACGACAAAGGCTGGCTGTAAACATGGTGATGCTTGCCGTTTTTGCCACCTGGAGCACACGGAGGACGTTTCGGTGCAGACTCTGAAAAGCCATAAGCGGCCAGCTGAGCCCTATTACAATCATAGTATGTCGATTGGATGCTTGATGACAGCTTGATGTTGTTATGTATATCCTTTATATATATATATAGAATATTATACATTACAGTAATATACAGGGATTGCCACTTGGGTTTGTTATGGTTTTCTTTTGTTTTTCACGGGTCTGAGTATGACACAGTAAAACCACCCATCCCCACTGCAAAGTGCCTTGATTCCAGCGTGTTACCAGGACTCAAAGCGGGGCCGACATCGCCCATGCAAAGCAACCAGAAATCAGTGCAAGCACCTTCTTTGGCAAATGAATGACCTCTACAAAGATGATCCCGAACAGACTCTTGGATGCGCCAATATATATATATATTATGCATAATGAAATATAATTACATATGCTTACATAAGGTAACACGTTTCCACAGTTTAAGCGGGATGCTGTGTACAAAACATGGAGGAAGAGTCAATAGGGAGCCAACATGGAGTGCAGCAGTTGACGGTTAAAGGTGCCAGGGTTGACCAGAACCCACCGTAACCTCGCCATAGTCAGCTACTCTTTGCCATTCGCACTTCCCAGGAAGCGGATTGCTTACCAGACCTTGGCAGAACAGAGCCCTTACATGAAAAGTCCCTCGGCAAAACTGCGACCTCCGAGCAAAACGACCGTCTTGTTGTCAGGAAACCTTCCGCAGATTTCTTGTGTAGCCTTGAAGATTCAAAATGGTTGTGATACATCTTTAGCCCAGGAAGCTGTAGCGAAGCGCAGTTGAGGTTTGCTGAAAGGCGTGCTTGACCCCGAAGAGGCTTCGGCTTCTTGAACAGCAAAAGAACTCTTAATAGGGTGGGGGATCAGTTTCGGACCTTCTTTGCTATGTTCTGAAACATTGTTTTTGTATCTTGCTGTTTGCAGATGCAGGGAGGAGGATCCCACTTGACTACATGGATCGTTGACTGATCTTTGTGCACACACACATGCTCACATATTATGATATATATATATAGAGATATATAATATATACAAATATTCGTATACAGATATATACAGATACTTAAATACGACACACACACACACACAGCTGCGCACACACACACACACACAGGTCTATTATATAATACACAGCTGCAACATTTGAGCTGGAGCTGAGGCACTGGATGCTCCACGTCGGCCAGGCTTGCAACAAGATGGCCGAGCTAAGCCTTCCGAAGGCTGGGGAACCAGACAGGCTATAGCAATGTTCCTCTTCATTATGATGATTGATGATGATTGTCTATATAACATATAAAACACATGAAAACATTATAAAACCATAATATGGTGATTATATACTGGTATGTTATATAGACCACACAGAGAGATTATTATTATTATTATTTTGATGATGATGATGATGATGACGATCATACACATTTATTTATCATGATGATTGTATAATGTCGGCGAGCTAATGCCACAAAGAACTACCATGTGAGGATGATTTATACCACCATGCATAGTGACTTTTGGGATGGATTATGATTGGGTTTACCAGGTATGCCAAAAATTATAACATATCCATAAAAGTGCTGTATATATAATTACTGTATTTCATCATGAATTTGGTGCACATGATCATCACAATCATTGAAAATCATTGTCACCATCACCACCTTCAACACCCTCATTGTCACCATCACCCTCCTCCTCATCATCATCATCATCCTCATCATCCTCATCCTCATCATCCTCATCCTCATCATCCTTATCCTCATCCTCATCCTCATCATCATCATCATACTCATACTCATACTTAGACTCATACTCATACTCATACTCATCATCATACTCATCATCATCATCCTCCTCCTCATCACCCTCATCATCAACACGGTCTGTTGGCCCACTTGGTAAGGGCTTCCTTTTCCTGCAGGAAGTGGCAAGTCAAAGAAGAAGAACCTTATTTCACTTTAGCTGCAACCTCAGTGCCATTCAGTGGTCAATTCTGTTGAGTTAAAAGATTCCCTCCTGTTGCTTGGAGAGGCGTGGGGCACTTGAGCGCCCATGTCGTATGATTTAAACGTAACATTTGTTTGTGGCTCCCAAGTGGTTTACCAGTTTACCACCACAATCAGCGGGTGGCTCAGACCAAAAGGCTCCAAGAGTTGTTGTTCCTTCGGCAGTCGGGACGGCAGATGGCTTTTAGTTTTCAGCATTTCGATTCCCATCCCGATTAGCTGGGATAATCTGGGATGGGTTGAAAACACGGCATAGTCTTAGCCTGACTCGGTTCATGCAATGACGGAAAACATTGATATTTTCTTGACCTAGGAATTGACCTTCCTCGGCCCATGAGGCGCTGAAGAGGGCCAACCCTAAACAGCTAAGCTGATACCAAAACAAAAACAAGAGAACTAATTTTATTTAAATATTGTAAAATTATTATATGAGCAACCGTAAAAACCCCGGCAATACTAAATATGTATTCGACGGACATTGGCTTATGGAAATTGATGGAAATTGTTAAAAACACGAGGTAAGCGATGGGACCTTCCCAAATTAGCGATACCCCTTTTCAAGGTTATATCATTATATTTCTCTAATATCCACATTAGCGATACCCAAATATCACATATTATTCATAGTTCATCATATATATATATAAATAACAATTTCCTGCAAGCGATGCCCCCCAAATTTACCATATATCATTATTGTTCAAATATGTGGTAAGCGATGGGACCTTCCCAAATTTATAAATATCCTTTCCGTAAACCTAGGGTTTTCATAATCATTCATATAATTAATTAAATTATTAAAATATATTATATTAAATTAATAAATATAAATAATTAAATACAATAATATTACTAATTAATAAAATAAAATTATAAAAATTCATATAAATAATAAATTGATCTGCAAATAAAATTATATATATATATTTAAATTATGTTTTATATTTTAAAAAAATGTTTTAGGATATTAATTAGATTATAGAATAATTTTGTTTGGAATAATTTTTAAGGAATATTTTTTTTTAAAGAATAGGTATATAATTAACAAAAAAAAATAATAATAAATAATTATTATTTTTTTCTGATTTATTTTTATTAAGATTAGAATTATTAAACTAATTTAGAATTTGGAAAAATATCTAAAAATAAAAAAAAATAATTAATGGGTTATTGAGAGGACATTTATTTAAATATATTATTTTGATTTTATTTGATTATAACGAAAAGTGTTTTAATTTGTATTTTAGTTTTATGAGAAGGAAAGGCTTTTTTTGGTCGTTTATTCGTAATTACTTATAATTATTTATATTTGGCTAGAAATAAATTATACCGATATTATATTAATAAAAATTATTTATAGTATTTATTTTTTTATATAAGTAATTGTAAAAACCCCGGTAATACTAAATATATATTCGATAAATATTGGTTTATGGAAATTAATGGAAATTATTAAAAATACGAGGTAAGCGATG